CAAACAACCGTTATGTGAACAAAATTAATATACCCTTATGCACAAGTGCCCTCGGGTATAAAAAAAAATGGGATAGTTAGATATTTTGATGTATTTTTTTTTTAATTTTTAACATTTCCATAAATTTTCTAGACAGTTTGAGACTTAATTTTGCCTGGTTTTTGTTATTGAATTAACTTTATTTTTATATAAAATTTAAATTAAGTAAGGAAACACAGCTGTACATACATATGTAATACGTTTGCTTTGTTTTAAACTAATGAACTGTTATATTAATAATACTATATGTTTTTAAACGTCGATTAGTTATTTTGTATTAATTAATGTGCTGTTATTTGGCTGTTATATTGTTAATACATAAAAGGCGCTTCAAAACGAGCTGATTTTTATGGCTTTGTACTGATTTTTGAACCCAACTGTACTGATTATGTCACTAAAATATCTGGCCCCCCTATTTCCGACTGAATTTCATTTTTTTTTTTGCAAAAGTACACATACATATGTATATTTACCTGTCATAAATATAATCTGTGAAATATATATCTGCAATAACGACACAACTCAAAATTCAAAAAATCAAATCACTTATTACTGTTAAGAGGCTCATATCTATAATCCTAGGCTAACGCATTATAATCATAACTTAAGTAAGTAGTTAAGATTATACTTGAATAAGGCAACGATTAAAGGCATGAGCCATTTAACAGTAGTACGAGTTTTTATTTTTTGAATTTTGAATTGTGTCGTTATTGTAGAGGATCATCGATATGTAAGTTCATGTATTTCGATAATTAAATAAATTCGAGCATAAATACGATTTTTAGTTATATATACATATGTAACTCAATTTCAGCGCCACCTGGCGGCAAATTTTTTTCGAACGAATTCATTTTCCTTTTATCAATACATATGTATCTCGAATAAGAGACGAATCGGACCATAAACACGATTTTTAGTAATAACTCGACTCCAACGCCACCTGGCGGCTCTTTTTTTGCAATGGTATTGTTTTTCCTATTGTCAATACATATCTCAAATATGAGGCGAATCGGACCATNCTCTTTTTTTGCAATGGTATTGTTTTTCCTATTGTCAATACATATCTCAAATATGAGGCGAATCGGACCATAAATACGGGTTTTACTAATAACTCTATTCCAGAGCCACCTAGCGGTTGTTTTAATAGTTATTCTGCTATTCGGAAGGTAAACAAATTCAAGAAACAAATATCATAAAAATCGGTCCAGCCGTTCTTGAGTTATAAATGGTGTAACTAACATGACTTTGTTTTATATAATATATATAATATATAATATATATATATACCCTGCAAACCAAAGTTCCCGAAATCTTTAGGAGTATCTGATTTCTGTAACGATTTTTTTCCGAATCTTCAAAGAAAATTATATGAAGTGGTTGACACGAACTCGTAAAGAAATTTCTGTACGAAAAATAAAGAAAATTCTGAAAAAAGTCTGCAAGAAATTCTTCACATAGCAGCATTATTTTCATTCTTCACCGATTTTCTTCCGAAATTTCGTAAAAGAATGGAAGTGTGCGTAATTTATTTCATTTTAGAAAATTCGGAAAAAAATTGGATGGGATCTTTCCGAATTCGTTAAAATTTCTTTACGATTCAGAATACTCTGAAAAAATGGTTTGCAGAGTATATATATAAGAAAGCATATTAAAGAGAATATCTACATATTTGATTTTTTTTTTAATACAAGACGACAGATTGCTCATACGCACCGACAAACGGCTGTCGTAAAAACCCGATAGTAACCCATGCGACCTAGCAGAGTTATCTAAAGCTAAACGAATAGCACAAAACTATGTAAACACATCAAACAAGGTAATTCGGTATAGAAGGATTATGGTTTTATCGTGCCTGTAGTTTGGCTATCTCTTTGGCCATCGCCACCTTCCTCGAGTAGCATGGCTGATCACAAGGCACTGTAGCATTTTATTGTTATTATTTCGAACGATTGGCCAAATATCTTTTTCCCTCAGTTAGCCGCTGTATTTTGGTTTCCGCCAGACTCTAAGCTACATTTTCCGTGATATTGTTGATTAAGCCGGGTATCGTCGTTGCGCGCCTTAGAAGAGCTCTTCCTTTATGAGAATATTTCCATTTGCACCGCCGCTTACGTTGTCGAGGTCGGTCTTCCGTCAACTGCATATTTACATCAAACGTACTTCTACAAAACAAACGCTTATTTCGAATTGAGAACATTCAGGCGAATATGCAGCTATCCAGTAGATAATTTCAGGAGTTAAAAGCTTTTCCGAAAGGCCTTCCTGTGAGTCAGAGGCCCTCCACTCTATATTCCTTTCTCCTTTCTGTTTTGTGTGGGCATTAATTGAAGGGCTTCTTCTTTCGCTACCCATTAAAGGCCTTCCAAAAGGGCTTTTATAGGACGTACTTCCGAAGGCCTTGTAGAGGAGTTCTTTTAAAGATGCTTCTTTAATTTATAAAAATCATACATCTTTGAAGTATTTGCTTAAGGTTTATATCAAATATGCGTTATAGCAACCTAAAATGTCTATTGAAATTCATTTGTTATGCTAAATAATATAAATTTATGCATTTGCGTAAATTTTAAATGGATAAGCCCTTCTAGAAGGCATGCAAGTAAGTACTTTTCAGCCCTTCGTGGGTAGGCCTCTTAGAATGGCTTTACTTAAGAAGGCCTACCTAAGTTATCTTCTGCGTAAATCTTCTTACGTATACTACGTAAAACCCCTATCATTTCTTCTAATTTTTGCCTAAACCATTATAATATTTTTCAATTTTTTAATTATGTTTTACAAAAGTGATCCATTTCCACTTCATCAATAATTATTTTGTTGGGAATTTGGAGAATTACGTTGTAAAAAACTGCATACAATTTTCATCGTAATGTACTTAATATTTTTTTCTCGGAAGAAACTTAATAAACTAATAACACAGGTTTACAAAAAACATTAAATAAACCTGAAAATACAATAAAATTCTTCTTAATTTGACCTTGAAGAATCAAGCCATTCCAATATTTATTCGGGGCGTTTCCTTCGCTGAAGTATTTTTTTATGCGTGTTTTTTCGCCGTCAACTTTTGAGCTCGCGCATTTATTCGTGTCTAGTAACGTTATGTTTATAATTGTTTATCTTTATTCAATAAATTTTTTCATATTTGGCCCTCAAATGACCTCGAACACGACATTATGGACGTTAACAGGCCTCGGATTCGCATTTAGCGCGTCGAATAACATAGGGATATAGTGGTTTGGTTCAATATGCATAATCTTATAATATTTTTGTAAGCCTGGGTAATCCTCACTCCATAAACTTTTTTTGTCAACACTATATCGTATCTCCTTTTTTCCAGGCCCTCCAAACGGAAGAGTATTTTCTGCCACGAATGATTTCTCAACATACCGGCCAGACGACTGTGCCATTTGGCGATGCGGTTATCGCTACAAAGGACACCTGCATCGGCTATGAGATTTGCGAAGAATTGTGGAATGTGCGCAGGTGGGATGATCCTCTTTCCTAAGTTTTGTTAATGTATTGAAATTAACCATCATAACTTCCAAGAAGTTCATTAGATAGTAAAATAAAGTCCTCCTTGTTAAGTCGATATATATGTATGTATGTTTGTACATCTAATTTTTAGCAAGCATATCGACATGTCACTTTCCGGCGTAGAGATAATAGTGAATGGTTCTGGGTCTTACATGGAACTTCGCAAAGCCCACATAACCACCGATCTCATACGAAATGCCAGTTTTAAGGCAGGTGGCGCCTATTTGTTCAGCAATTTGCGAGGCTGCGATGGGCAACGAGTCTATTTCAATGGTTGCTCCGCCATAGCAATGAATGGCGAAATTATCGCCCGAAGCAAACAATTTGCTCTGCAGGATGTGGTACGTCCCAAAAAATTTCACTCTTTAATGTTCCTTTTTTTTTGCTTTTTTTTCAAGTCATATACACAAATTTTTACTCTCCACTGTCATTTAGGAAGTAACTTTGGCCACAATTGATCTCGAGGAGATACGTTCCTACCGCGTTGGGCTGCGTTCTCGTTGCAATTACGCTGCCTCCGCGCCCAACTATCCGCGCATCACTTGTGACTTTGAGATGTCGACGCATAATGACATCTTTAAAACCTCCTCGACACCAATGCAGTGGATTTATCATACACCCGAGGAGGAAATCGCCATGGGCCCCGCCTGCTGGTTATGGGACTACCTGCGTCGCTCCGGTCAAGGTGGATTCTTTTTGCCACTCAGTGGGGGTGTCGACTCAAGCAGTTCCGCCACAATTGTTTACTCCATGTGTCGCATGATCGTGAACGCCGTGCAAGGTGGTGATGCTCAGGTGCTCCACGATATACGCAAAATACTGGCCGACTCCGAATATACGCCTGACGATCCGGCAACCCTCTGCAATCGCCTTTTGGTCACATGCTTTATGGGCAGTGTCAATTCCAGCAAAGAGACACGCCGTCGAGCTGCGCAGTTAGCTAACCAAATAGGCAGCTACCACATCGAAATCAGCATCGACACTGCCGTCAATGCGTTGTTGAGCGTCTTCAACGCGGTCACAGGTCTAACGCCACGTTTTCGCACACAGGGAGGATGTGCGCGTCAAAATCTGGCGCTACAAAATATACAATCACGCATACGTATGGTCCTGGCGTATATGTTTGCGCAACTAATGTTATGGGTACGCAATCGTCCGGGCGGACTGTTGGTACTAGGCTCAGCGAATGTCGATGAGGCCTTGCGTGGCTATATGACGAAATACGACTGCTCATCGGCGGACGTAAATCCCATCGGTGGAATTTCTAAAACCGACTTGCGGCGTTTTCTTAACTACGCGAAAGAGAAGTGTGTGATTTGATCTTAAAGAATTTACCAAGTTTTAACCAATGGAAACTTCATTTGACTTGCAGATTTAATTTAACTGTATTAGAGTCAATTATTGAAGCGCCTCCCACTGCTGAACTGGAACCACTTCAAGATGGTCAACTAGTGCAGACAGACGAACAAGATATGGGGATGACTTATGCTGAGCTGAGTGAATACGGACGTTTGCGCAGACAAGCACGCTGTGGACCTTACAGCATGTTTTGCAAGTTGGTGGCTACATGGCACGCTGATCTGAGTCCCAAAGAGGTGGGCACAAGAAATACATTCATTGTCAATAATATTTTATTTATTTAATACTAGTAATCGTCGGTTTCATCAACCAACTTTTAAACTTATGAGTCACTAGAGCTGGAGAAACATCGATGTTTGGCAGCATCGATTTTTCCGACATCTATGAAACATCGCTTTTTTTGAATTTGAGAATTAGGCTATTCAGCCTTTCCCTTTGTAAATTTTTGCTTGGAAATAAATTCTATAAAGTTAAAATTAATCAAATTTAATCGAAAATGTTTAAGATATTGAAATTGCTCCATCTTACCTTTTTACGCGCCAAATAAATGTAGAATTGCAATTTGCAAAACCGTCAATGT